TACAAAAGCTGAGCCACAATCAAAACCCGGGTAGATGAAGGTTAGTAAGGGGCAGTCCCAACCATAAATGGCTGCGGCCGCCTTCTTAATTCTTTACATGGGTTCTGGGTTCACCATTTTTGTACCAGGTTTTGATTGTGACTCAGCTTGCGTAGTCGCGCATTCCTATGCAAGAGTGGGGGCTGCTCTCAGGCTGGGACAAGAGTGGCGCTTCCGGCCCTGAGCGCGGGGCGTTGCGAGCCTTCGCATTGATTCCAGGATACAACACAAAAAAAGGCGGAGTGCTAGAGCATTGCAGCTTTGATTCGGTACGCTTGCACAGCCCTGCCCAAGTGTCAAAACAGTTGCAGTCACCGGATAAGACTGAACGAGCCCGCTTGTACTTGACTCACTCGAGCGCGAATGAATACACCTCTGAGGCTGTACGTGGAGACTGTACCCGTAGCTCGTACCCGAATGTGCTGGGAAGCAATACCCGCGCTTTTTGGCTACTGGGCTTGCCTGTTCCACTCGTTGACGAAGGGACCTCCCTGGAAGTTCATGTCAGCCAAGGTAACAGGGAGTACATATTCCTGTCGCAAAGTATGTAGCGCATGAGGATTCTGGGTCCATTGCCCACGGGCCCACCTGACATCTTCGACACAGACTAGCGCACTTCCTGCAAGAAATAATCTTTCTTGGGACCGGGTTCTTCATTTCACTTGGCGAAATACGCTGAGTTCCTGAGTGCAGAATCATTCTTATCGACATCTCTAAACAGACCGGCAGCTCCTCTTTGTCGATAGATCAATTTGGCAGCATGCGCCGCAAAGGCGGCGGCCACGCGACTTTTGAATATGGCTCAAGCTTCCATAAACAGCAGATTCGCATGCTTGCAGAAGCAAGGGAGCCACAAATCAATACAGGAACTGATGGACATCATTTCGGTACATGTCGAACAAGAGCATGTTTCTGTCGGAGCGTGCACCCGCAAACCCGGATCTGGCAATCTTCAGCACACCAACCCAAAGGCCTAAAGGCATCTACCTCACGCGTCGACGCGTCGACGTTCCAAGTGTCGCTTCAGCTTGAGCCTAGCTTCCGAGCTTCCAGTTCCACGGGCCATGAGGCAGAGGCCGTGCTTCGATGGCAAAGAACGGCCGTGTTTTTTCAGGAGTCACCCCGCTTTTTTTTCGGGCCCGTTTAAGTTTGTCCCCTGTTCAACGAGTTTGGCACAGCCACTGCGCAGTCCTGACTCACCTTCAGGTGGCCGCATGGCCTCCTTGTGGTGTGTTCCTGTGCGGTGCTTGGACATCTCTGCAGCTTGGAAATGGTCGGAGGATTCAAGTGGGTCCGAAGAGTCCCAAGGTCCTGATTCGGTGACACGTGTCACCTTTCAAAGGCTCCCCAAAAGGGTCACTCATTTGTCAGCTCACCTGTGTGGTTGGAGGTTACTGCCATAGAACCCCAAACACCTCTTTCACAGAGGGGTTCATGTCCCAACGAGTAGATATGATGTAACAGATGGTTTGGTGCTGACTTGACGTGAAAATCAGGAATAGCCTTGGGCTGACTCGGGCTGGCACCGATTCATGGGCGGACATGTGAGGATCACCTACTCTCAATATTGTCAGTTGCCCCCCTTTAGGCCGATCCAAGGCCTGTTGCGCATGGGTCCACCAGTCAGTGCGTCAGTCAGGCTGGAAGACGGTGGCAGCTGAGGCGACCTCCCAGGTATTCGGGGGCCGCGATTATGTTGGGAAGCCCTGGCATGCTCAAAAGCTGCCTGAGCAAAGGGGCTCTAAAGAAAGACAAAGATTGAGGCTAGCAGGGCTCGAAGCCACGACCCACTGCCATCCCTAAAGGGCTCAGACCAGAGTCGCCCGTATTTTTCCATTCAGGTAAACTTAAGCATCGGCCACGCCGAATTGATTTTTTCTGCCAGGGGTGCCTATTTTTCTCAGTTTTATTGGCACCCACCAGTACATTGCAACTTTTGAAGCGGGATCTTGAATGGGAAAATGCTTCAAAGGCGTCGATATCCAATGCGCAGCAGCTTGGCAGAGTGTTGACGGTGCTGGCGGACTCGATGACTTGTGAGCCTTTTGAAGGTGGTTGTTTTCAGATCTCCTGCTCGCAGGTGGCCAACCCATTGCAAGTAGGTGCCCTTGAAAAATATATTCACACATTCCCACACAGTAGGCTTGGACTCAAACTGCCTATATTGCTAGTAATGGGTAAAATGAACGGACTCGCTTGGGCCCGCGTATTCTCTTTTGTCTTGATCCAGTTTTCAACGGTTATCCACCACTTTTCGGATTGGCCCCTTTCGCCACCCGGGAGGTGGTCTTTGACTACCTCTGGCCGATTCACATCAGCAAAGTTCCATTATCCACTCCTGGCGCTGGAGGCTCAGACAAACTTGAGCTGTCCAGGAAGCATGAAGTGAGACCCTGAATGACCAGTGTCCTTGTCTTCGATCTGATTCGGGAAGGCGTCGCTCAATTCAACGTGCCCCCCCCAAAATGTGCTTTGTCGTCTTGGCCGTTGGAAGTCTGATTAGGGACATAAACACCTTTTTAGATCACTTTGTACGGAATAACCAGCAATGGGTTATTGGGCACCCAGCTGAGGACCCTTCCAGCAATGTTCAAACATCCCCGCACCCGACTAGAATTTACTGTGCTTTTGGTGTGTTTACACATTATTGTCCTTTCATACACCAGGCACGGGCAAGGTGTCAAAAGGAAGGTTTTTGTCGGGACCCCTGTTTGTACATTCCCCCAAGATGGGTATGTTCACAAAATACCTCTTTGGAACTCTTCCGAACGTCACAAGCCAACTGTGGGGGATCTTTCAACGCATTGCGTGCACTTTGCTTGTTCAGCACAGTCACATGCAAAACTGGAGGTAGGAAAAGAACTAATTCACCACCACAGATGGAAACACAGAGGGAAACCACGAAGGCAGGTTCCCTATTGCCCTTCCAGTGTTTGAATCTGTCCGGAAGATCTCCGCCTCTTGCACACTGCTTGTCGCCATTTGTTTTCCCCGTGGGTGTCCGATGCCGTTTGTTTCTCCAGTGGGTGTCCGATGTCCGATGAACTCGTGCGTCGAATGGGTCCCAGCTTTCCCCTCCCGTATTTTCTTGAAATCAACATTAGAGCCACAACCAGAACCTGGGTCCATGCAAGTTAGGGGCAGCCTCAGGTTCTCACATGTACGTTTTTGCACCCTGTTTTCACCCAAGGTCCGTGGAGGGAAATTTGGATCAACCGCTGCAATCGCCCCACGTGACCCGCTAGACATGGGCACGTCAAGCTGAGGTGGAGGCCATGGAGCCCCCGGAGTTTGGACAGGCGCGAATTAAACGGATCGAGCCGATGCTCCGATCCGACCAAAAAACCGGCGGATCGGGGAAGACGACTGCGCAAGTTCCCGCTTAGACTTCAGGTAGTTGGAACACGCGCCGTAGACGGCGGTGGCGAATCCTCCATTTTTAAGGATTATTGTCAGTTCTTTTGGGGGGGGTCGACCACGCTGATGAGGCCTTCTTGTTTCAGGATGGGTCGCCTAAGTCACGACACATTGCTTTGCCTTGCCTTGGTTTTCCCCATTCGTTTGTCCCATTCGGGGTCAACTTTGTTGCAGATATTGTTTGTCTGGTCAAGAAACGTGTCATGTTCAAGCATTTGCCGTTGGGCTGCTTCCCTGAGAATGGGACACTCGCCTCTCTCATGCGCCAAGCCTAGCAGGCACTGGCCGAACTCGCACTCAGTGGCTTTGAGGATCGCTGAGCAGCATCCTTCTGGGGTTGTGGCTGTGAGTCAAATGGCGAGACTCCCTTGAGACCAAAAAGAACGCATCCAGTGATGGCAAGCAAGAGTTAGCTTCCTTCGTGACAGATGAGTGGCAGTCAGGACTACGTCAACAAAACGCTTCCTCTGGAGTTGAAGGCGCCCTGCATTTCACTTACTCGGTCGAGATGTGAGCAATGAGCAAGACTACTCTGACTCTACCGTTGAAGGAAACACGAGGATGGATGGCAAAACCGTGATGTTACCACCAGCATCCAGGGTGCCGGAACCATCTACCAAATGTCCATAGAAGGAAGTTGCAGTTTTTCGTCGTTCCCCAGATAGCTGAAAGCTGAAAGGGGCTCTCGCTTCTAAAGAGGGGCAGGCTGTTGTGCGAGTTCGGGCCAAGTTGGTGCTGCAGGTGCTGGTCAGGGTGCGTGCTGTGGTGGTACTGGCGGTCCCTGATTTGCGATGCAGCCTGTATGCTGTTGTGAGTATGGTGCTGCTGTGAGTTGGTCAAGGTGCTGTTTGGTGTGCTCAAAGCGCGGTGGCAGTGGCTGGCGGTGCTTGCTTCGCTGTGGGTGCTGTTGTGCGTGCTGGTCAAGGTGCTGGTCCAGGACTGCATCTCCAAACAGGCACCGCCAGTGCCAAACAGCGCCTTGACAGCACCCAAACAGCACCCAGTCTAGCGCCAGCAATAGCACCCTGACTGAGTCACAAAGCAAGAACCGACCACCAATAGCAACAGCAACCTGACCCGCACCCACAACGCAACCCCGACCAGCACCCCTAACAGCACCCTGACTGCATCGTATTGCTGGTGTGCTTGTTTGGCAGGCAAGCAGGGTGCGGTTGCGGCTGCTGGCCAGGTTGCTTGTTTGGCGATGCAGTCAGGGTGTTGTCGTGGGTTCTGGTCAGGATACTTTTGATATGCCCACAGTGCGGTGTGGTGCTTTTTTGGTAATGCAGGCAGAATGTTGTTGTGGGTTCCTGGTGCGTGATGGTTGCTGGCGGTGCTTGTTGCAGTCAGGGTTTTTTGGGTCTGTGCCAGCTGTGTTTTTGCGGTGGTCTGCGGGCTGCCCCCTGGCGGAACGGCGCGTGCCAGTTGGATGCAGACTTCGCCGAAGAGTTCCACGGGGCTGACCACTCCCGAGTGAACTTGGCCTTCCGACGCCCAGAGCTCAGAGGGGAAGTGAGTCCTCGACCACAGCGAATTGACCAATGGCCAAAACTGTTCTCGATCAGTTGTGGCCTACTTTTAGTCATGGCTCCAACAGGTGAACCTTTTAATGGTGAGGTTTGGGGTGGGGGAGGTAGTGTGTAGCCCAGGTTCCTTTGCATTCCTTTGGGCTCAAGGCTCAGGACGCTTTGGGAGCTTTCAACTTGTGCCACAAGGGCTGTTCCGCCGATTGCAACCCCTTCTGAAGGCTGCAACAACTCCCAGCCCTCAGGATGCATGCAGGAAGGCTACTAGAACAGTTGAAGATGAGAAGTGGCGGTTCGCGGCTTGTTGCATGGTTTCTAGCGGGTTCAACCAATTCTAAGGTGCCTTGCACACCAGTTCGCTGTTTGTTTCAGCATGAAATGGACGGGAGCAAGCAGCCACGTGTCTTTGCAGGTAGTTTTGCCCCAACGCGTATCTCATTTTGTTGGCCCACAGCTTTGATTTTGAGCCTATCCAAGCAGTAAGGCTGCCTCCTCCGAATTCAGTTGGACATGCTGAGGTTGCTCACTGTGTGACGCCTTTCAAAATCATCTTCCCAGGTTACCCAAAAAGTTGATGTGGAGGAACGAGACGGGGGCACCGCCATGATGATTTTTAAGCGCCCGGACCCTTTAAGCCTTGAGAAAGCCTCAAAGCGCCTTGGCTCATGCGCCCGATACTCAGCGGGCCTTCTCCTGAAATCTCCTGAAATTGAGACCGAGGCTGGCAGAGACGAGCCTTTCGCCCAGAGGTTTTTCGCCAGATTGGTTGGGATCCATCGGCCTAAGAGCTTCTGTAGATCCCTCAATGGAAAGGGATGCAACTTACGTCGGACTTTGGACTTCTTCTTTTGCGCAGATATGTTGGGTTCCACTTGTTCATGAATCCATGCTTGACTGGGAAGCCCGGCACCCGTCCCTCACAAGGATTTTAGACCTGAGACCCTGCAAACATTCCTTCGCTAACATTCAGGGAAACTGTTTTTCTTTCAAGCGGAGGGTCATTATGGTCGTTCATCTTAGTTGCAGGTGGCAACAGTCAGTATTCACTATTCACCCTCATTCAATCTACTGCAGCAAAAATGATAACATGGGGGCAAACTTAATAGATTACCAAGTAGATTTAGGGGCTACTCAGCAAAATCCAATGTCATTCGGGGATATAGGGAATCCTTGCGCTGTGCAATTAACCGCAAAACGAAAAGCCGAAGAATCATGCTAAGTGCTCGACAGTTGCTTCAGTTGGCTAATTACAAAGAAGCTCACAAGGCCAGTGACCTGTTGGACTTCTGTTTGGATTCAGCATGTCTGCATGTCAGAATAGCCAAACACCTCGCACGAGCGTGCCCCGTACCGTGCGAGGTCTATGCCTACGCGAACCGTGACATATACCCAGTGCAACACTTACTTGCTACTGATGATCTTGCGAAATTTCCCCGGTTTCTGTTTTTTTTAGGGTTTCCTCTCAATCCTCAGGTGGCGCTCGTTTCAATGGAAGCCACCCATTGGTCAGCTTAAGAGAAATCCAGCCGATGTTTCCCTTCAACGCGCCTTGCGCCTAAGGAGTCCCAACTCAGCGCGGATGTGCTCGAGGGTGGCTGGCAGTCGGAGTTCCTGGCCGGCGGCTGGGCACGGTCCATGCCTTTGAAGGAGCCGGGCGGTAAGTTCTCAGGCAGGTGCGCAAAGGTTTGCGCCTTTGTAGAGAGACTTCTCACTTGCCCCAAGACAACCTTTTGACCTTTTGGTTTCCATGATTTGGTCCATTTTTAGTCATGGCCCCAAAAGGTTAACCTTTTATTTCTGGCTCCTTTGGGCAAGTGAGACTTTGCGTGGCCCAGACAAGTGCACAGGGCATATTTTTTGATTTCTTTTTGACTTGTTGCCACCAGCTCCAAAAATCCAACAGGCCCATGGCCAGTATGGAGTCAACTCCGATGGTACACAAAGGCCCATCAGGGGACCTTACAAACCAAGAACTATGGCCGTTTGACAACCCGCCACCTGCCAACCTGCCCCTTATTCGAGCGCAATGAGGTTGCTGTATCAGGTTAGGGTTCCTTACGTAGGATCCATGGCAGGATTTGTTTGCTTTCACAGCTCCCCGCACGTGGTGCAGAGGTGTAGAGGGCCAAGTCCCTTGCTGAGAAAACGAGTGGGGCTTTGCCAGCACCCAAATAGCGTTGACCTTTGCCTGTTCTCCAACACACACAGTGGGCTTTGACCATGTTGTTTACCCGAGAATCTTTCGACAAGAAAAATGGGCTCTGTTTTGAGGTCCTTTTCCAGTGGAGGCTTCTTTTCTCTGACGTGGGCATTGAATACCAACCTGACTTGTTCAGTGCGTTTTTTCATGTCTTTGTTTCGTTGGCTGCCCAAGCTAAGACTTTTCCGCAGGAGGTGAACTACTCCTGGCCACAGCTTCGCCAGAGCTCCGAGCCCGGGCCTTGCCAGGCGTGCAGTTGATTGGACTCTTTGGAGACGACTCTGAAACTGATTGCAAAAGGTCCCTTCTTGAAATTCATAGCCAGGTGGGTGGCTAGGACTCGTGGCCGATTGAGTCAATATTGCGCATCTCGTGATGAATGGGTTTGCTTGAGACAACCAAAACACCAGCTGGCCTTTTGAAGGGCTCTACCACTACATCTTCATGCTCAGTTCGGGGGGGTGTTGAGTGCTGCTCGTTTGGGGGCATGAACCAAACACGAGTCGGGTCAAGGAGGCAACCAGAAAAGATACCATGAACTTGACAGAGTGCCAACATGACACTTAGGATGAGCTGCCAGGGGTCCAGATTCTGACACCGCCCCATTCGAAAGAGTCCACCATTTTCGTGTCACGTCATTCACATGGGAGGCGCTGTGGAAGGAAGTCAACAGGAACTGCCTAGCTCGCAGGGTTGGAGAAACATGGGCGCAATTCAATGGGAATCTGAAAGGAGGGTTTAGACAGAAGTGGCTTACAGGCTGTTGGCCAAGAGTTTTTTTTTTCTCCGTAGGGCACCCCATGGAAAACATAATTTTCATGTTCCGCACGTTTGTGGAAGTTCCATGACTGACATTTGCACCTCCCAAGCTCGCTAGCTGTCTGCCTAAAGTAGGGGATTTCCCAAAAAGTGCCTTTGCTCCCAACCCTATTGAAGATCAACTGACAAAAAAGTGCCAAAAAGTGACAAGTCGCAACACCCCCGTCGGTGAGTGCTTGAAATTCTATGTCCGAAACAGAAAAGCAACTGTGCAAACCACATCTTTGTCTTGGGGTTTAGACAAATTATCAATGCAATCAAACGGGTGATCAACCACGGCGAAAGACGCGCTGGAGGTTTCGTAAGCTGCAGTCCCACATCTCTGAGCTTGCAAAGCTGTACCTGAAGAGGAGCGCCGGCCAAGTTTGGAGGGCTGCAACCCAAGAAGTGAGCTGTTTCTTGGCGCGTTTTGGCTTTTTGTTTGTTTGTTGCACAGTGTTGCACGATCCAATTTGGAATTGCTTTGTGTGGTTGGGACTGAAGCATGGTTCATCAATCGTACCATTCATCCCCTGAAGCAAAACCAAAGTGCGGTCCCCCAAAGGTCCATCTCCCCCGGCAAGCACGAACGCCTTTGGGCGGGGTTAATCCCACACAAAGACAAGGGCTGGTCCATGGTGCAACATTCGCGGTAGCTACAGTTGATCCCCTACGTACTGCTAAAATATATTTCAAAAAGGGGCAAACTAAAAGCTCTGTAATTATGGTTTGTGGCTGGTTTACTGCAACATACTTAGATGGACTCAACTCTACGGTGCGCGAGAGGTAGCTCCCCCCTGACGCCCTGGATAGAAATGTGGAAAAGTCAATGGCGACTGCTACAGGGGCAGGGATTGCTCAATGCAAGAAACCCAATGCAGCTCCTTCGTGACTTCGGAGGAGTGGAAGCTCCTTCGGCAACAAGCTCCTTGGAGAAGTGGGCGCCGTTGTGCGGTTTGCATGACATGACATCCGGAAGACAGCTTGAGCGAATGCCATGGTTGGAAGGAGAGGACAAGACGGAGCTTGTGGCCCGATATTCGAGCCACAAAAGCCAGACTGCTAGGGCTTCAAGTTGGGCAACAAATAGTTCCCTGTGTACAGCTGGGACTGTGTCAACACCAGTTGGGTCCCTCCAAATGGTTGGTTCTATGATCTTATTTTGGAATGGGCTTTCCAAAAAGCTCTGTTTGCAGTTGGTTTCCGTGGTTCCTTTTGAGATGAGGGTTTCTCTTCGTTTTGTTTCCGTTTTCCTTTGACATGGACCAAGGGTGCCCTCCCACAGGACATGCACCACGGGATAGAGACCCGTTGGGACCTGCCAAGTGCTTGCGGGTCAACTCGAAAAACCCGAGTTTCGACCCTCAGCCTGTGTGACCTTTCAAGCAAAAGGCAAAGGGGTTGGAACCACGGGTCCCAAAGAGTACACGGGAGATGGCAGTGGATCGCAAGGTCCAGGGTATGGTTTGTATGCAGCCTTTGTGGATCCACTCTTAGTACAACTCTCTCACACACACACACATACCAACAAGAGGACCTTCAGGGAGAAGCTACCAAACAGGCCTTCAACCCATTTCCTGGCCAGAAACCTCTCGCCTCAGGTTCCGAATCTTCACTTGGGCGGAGGTCTTCCGAAAGGCTCGAGACAGAGAAGGGTTTGATTTGCCAACAGGAGCGGTTCTCAAAGATTTGCATTTTGAGGAGTTCTCAAAAAGACGATTGGGGCCGGTGCCCCTTTATCCTCTGTTTGGAGGAGCCTTTGGAGGGTGTGACTTTGCTGGGCGCAAGATGAAGATTCCTTTCTTGGGGTTCACATGTTTGATGCTTGGAACAAACTCGAGTGATTGTGGATTTCGGTTTGAGGAACCCGGTGTGGAAATGCCCGGTATCCGCCACTTCGATTCTTTACCTGGTGTTCGGTAGCCTCATGGTTTTCATATACAATAAGATAAATCGGGGGGGGGGGGGGGCCTGGTCGCATGGCAACTGTAGACGTTGCGGCAAGAAGAGCTTCGTATTGGGCAGGGTTCTGGTGACAGCTTTTTCACAGGCGCACGGCTTGAACCCAATTTCGATGCTACAGTACTCCTACTTCCCCACAGAAAGCCACACATGAATGGATGGCTTTGTCGTTGTGCCCAACTCCTTGTCCCATTGCTACCATTCCGAGGGCTCCAATTCCCTCCCGTTGGTTTCTGCCAGGGTGACGCTTTGAGACCTTCGGCGCACACCGACGGCGGCCTCTTCATGGGCAGGCGAGCCTGGAGCTTCCGGGCGTCCCTTCCTTGGAATTCAACGACGACGTTTTTTCGTCCAAAGCCGAGCTTTGACCTTTCGAACATTTCCCTTGTGGTCGATTTTTAGCCAAGCTTCCAAAAGGTTAACCTTTTGTTTCCATGCCCAAGGGAATTGTCGGATTGTGTGTAAGGACTGCCTAACGCCTTCCTCCAGGGTTTCAACATGAGTTCAATGCCAGCGTTGGGTGCTGGCAAAGCCATGGGTGAGGGCGTGCAACTGTCCAGGGAACCCAATTGCAGAAGAAAGTGATAACTTGCATTTTCGGACTTCGAGCGTTTTGGTCTGCCTGATTGGACCAAACAGTTTGAAGACGGCTTGGCCGCAAATTTGCATCGCGTTTCGAGCGCAATTCGGTGCAACTTTGGGCGAGCACAATTGTCAATTGCCCAAATTCTGGTTGCTCCACTGGCGCCGTGTGTTTACAAACGTTTCCCCAGAGTGAGCGGCATATCCCTTTTTGGATTAACTTCGGCGAGCCCCAAACAAGGTTCCGAACATATTAATCTCAGGAAGTTTAGGAGGATTTCGCGGTACAACAACTATTTGAAAGCTAGCTCTCTAGCGAAGTCCAAGCACGCGTTCAAAACAAAGAAAGAAATAAATAAAGAAAGAAAGACAAGCAAGGAAGAACGAGAAGAAACAAAATGACATAAAATAAAGTAACATAAATGACAGAGAGAAAGACAGAAAAGGTAAAGACATAAAGAAAGAAAGAAAGAAGGAAAGAATGAAAGAAAGAAAGAAAGAAAGAAATGAAGAAAGAAAGAAAGAAATTCATAAAGAAAGAAATAAATAAATAAGAAAATAAATAACCACATAAATGAAGAAAGACATGAAGGAAGGGAGGAAGGAAGAAAGCAAGGAAGGAAGCAAGGAAGGAATGAAAGAACGACAGAAAGAAAGAAAGAACAGAAAGAAAGAAAGGAAGACGGAAAGAAAGTAAGAAGGAAGGAGATAAAGAAAGAAATAAGAAAACATGAAAGAACTAATGAAATACAGAAAGAAACAAACAAAGATGACACACATCAAGAAGATCAAAATAAAGAAGAACACACGCTTTATACTTTTGGAAACTTCCGCCGCCGGCTTCACCTGGTAAGAAACATGCAACAGGAAGTTGTCCAAGCAAGACCAACATATTGTTTCTGGACAGGGCCCCGAAGGCATTGCCAGCAAGCGAGCAAGTTTTTCGAAACCATGAGGGCGTGGACAGGGCATGAAGGCCAGGAACATGCTCAAAAGCATCTCAGCGCTGTTTTTGCGACCTCTGAAAATCCAGTCATGGGGGGCGCTGGTGACAGATTCTCATGATATGACAATTCAGTGACTCACAGCCTGTTCCGGATTGATGACGGTTAGGGCCATTAATTAGAGACCATCGCGGACTGGCGCCTCTTGCCATAGCTTCTAGCCAGCATTTCAGAGAATGGTTCCAGAACCCACAGGTATTGGCCTCAGCTGAAGAAGAACTCTCTGAAGTTCAACTTCGAGGCTTCTTTGGGATCAGTTGGGCACAGTGTTAAGTTGGCTGTTCCCCCTACTGTACATAGTATGGAAAACAGATGCATCAACGGTAAACTGCAGGGTCTCTCTTGGTCCCCGCAGCGCACTTTTTGTGTTCTCAGGGGTTGTCAAGCATCGCGGCCTTTCGCGGGTGTCCAATTCCTATTTTTTTGGCTCAGCTAAGGGGTTGATGGCTTCCACCCGCGCCCAGGATCCCAGAGGCATCAACCCGCCTTTCGGCAAGACCCACACCCACTCCATAGAGGAGGCCAGAGGGGCGTTTGGGTGGGTCCTTCGTGCGGTTTTCGACACAGCAGTTTTTTCCTCAACCTAGCGGGGGTGGGGGACCGGCTTTGGGCGGCTAGCAGCATTTGGTACAAATCAACCTGAGATGAGGAGCCGTCTGTGGGGCTGCCCGTGGCCGCAGAACCCACCACATTGGCAAGCCCCCCATTTGGCTCAGCTTGACAGCTGTTCTGTGGCATTCTTTTTTCCAGCTGGTTCAACCCAAAAAAGCCAGCCGCCTTCATCCCCTGTGGATGAATTACACATGAAAAAAGAGCAGCCGACAAAGAGCTGGTTGGATCCCGAGTCAGGCATTGGACGTTCGCCTCGAGTAGCAAGCCGGTGTTTCGAAGCGGACGTGAAGACCCGGACACGTGTGCAGATCATTTTTGGGCTATACACAGTGCGAACGGTCACATAGTTTTTCGCATTGCAAGTGGGCGGCTCCATCAAGCAATTCAAACCTCCAAAAGACCTAGAAAGAAAAAGCACACATTGGGGGAAGTTGCTACTTGTTCTCTGGTCTCCTTGCCAATCGTTTTGGATGTTGCAGTGCGTATTCAGAAAGGGTCAGGGGTCGGAGAAAACTGGGTTTCCATTTTTTGCAAGGATTTAGGGACCACGCCTCCCCCCCCGATGCTCTGGTTGGCATCCCGGTGTTGAATACATGCACCTGATCCAACGCAAGGTCAAGGTGTGTTACTGAGTGCAGTTGTGAGCGCTTGGCACGCCAGGGAGCCATGTCCATGTTCCCGATTTGGGCGTCGCACTTCATCACTCCAAACATGAAGTCCAGGACTGCTGTGCTCGGCCCAGCTGAGCCAATCTTTGCAGAGTCATGAAGCAGTTGCATGTGTTTGAGTGTCTGTGTGGTGTGTGTGTGTGTGTGCGCGCGTGCGTGTGCGTGTTTGCCGCTATGTACAGTCTGCCTCATTGCCCATCCTTCTGGCTGTCGTGGAAGTGCCTCTGCAAAAAGAACCTCCACTTGGGACCCTTGCCCCTAGGGCACGTGTTTCAAGGACAATGACCAGAACACAATTTTCCTTAAATCCGAACAAGGGGCGCGTAACGCTAGTCCCGGTTTCCTTCTGAATCCCTTGCAAGAGCGACAAGCATGTCTGCAATCTCAGAACACTTCCCGTATCAACCTTTGCAATCATCCTGGTAGTCAGGGTTTTTGAGCGCTGGCGCAGTCCTCAAGCCAGCTTTCGGTGTGATCTGACTTAACGAGAGAGAGACCTCCCTCAAAAAGGTTCGTACAGTAGAGTATGTTGTCTTTGTTCAACCACAAAAAGGTCAAAAGGCAAGGTGGCATGAATATCAGCCATGAATTTCAAGGCTTCCCATTTACCCATGCGAATCGCCTTGTTTATTTCGTGCCTGGACAGTATTCGGTCTAAGATTCCAATCCCAGGAATTGAATCGGATGCGTCGGATAGGACGGGGTGTTCATTGCCGCACTTTGGACCGTCGTTTTTTCGCGTTTGGCCACGCATTGACAAGCAGGAAGGTTTGGGGACCTACCTCACATAGTCTCCGAGCTGGTTTGGCCGATCGAGGTGTGCTACGCCTTCATCGTTTACCCGGAGGATGGGAACACCATGGACTTCGAGGACGACCGCCGGGTCACATGGCTACATGTCCAGTTGCTTGGAAAGACTCCTCCGTCGTGCAAAGTGTGTTGATCGCATTACCAGAGGGAAAGTCAGAAAGAAAATACCACGCAAGGTATATAGACACCTTGTCCTCGACCGTTCATCTCACTGCCAGGACAAATGCAGATCCTGCGAACATTGGTAGACTTGACTTGCCAAACAGCCCGCTGTAGCGGTATCTTTCAAATGCCCATGCAAAGGCACTCCACGTGTCTCCCTTTCCAAGAATGGAGAAGATGGCCGCATTGAACCCGATTGTTAACTTGAGGGAAAGAGGGCAGCTGGGTCCCTCCCACCTGAGGTAGACTGGATAGGGAATGATGTTGACTCCTGAGTCTTTTTCCTTTCATCCACCTTCATGTCCAACTCAAAGAGAGGGAAGAGGTGCAAGCGAGGAGACCAGTGAAAGAACTTGGAGAGAACAAGAGGAAATGGTCATCTCTTCCTCACGTCCTGGCTCGCTCCCCTTTCCGACTCGGTGAAATACAGTTGGGGAACCCCCAGTCGAAAAGAAAGCTGAAAGGGTGGAGTGTGGGTTGAACCCAAACTGCCAAATCCTCAGCGACTTAAGCATGGGATTGGTGGAGGGGTAAACCTCGGAATTCCCGGATAGTTCTATTTGTTCTTTTGCGGGAAGGCTAGAAAAGTGGCACTGGGCCTCAGCCTCCACTCTCTTTCCCTGAAATATACTGGCAGCAGTAGCTGGGTAGGTTGCTGTTTGGGATGCACGTTTGATCCGCGCTTGCAATCGTTTTGAGCGAGCACTTTTTGACCTTTTCAACCTTTCAACTGCTTGGTCTTCTGTGACCGAGACAAAGTGGCCCGACTCGTTTTGGTACATTTCTTCATGGTTGCGTCTCAACTCGAGATAGACCCCATCCAGATCTGTAAAGATCCCGTGCATCTTCCTCTGCGAGGGTGGATTCATGTTGCGTGGCAAGCTGCGAGGACGACGGCACTGGGAAGTTCAAAATCGAAAGGGTACCGCTGAAGTGAGAGCAGGGCGTGGTAGGCCAAGAGCCAAGCACGTCTATGGGCCATTGGCTTTGGCTTCAAATGCGCATCCGAGTCGTGTTTTGGCTCACGTCATGTCCATGATAAGTTCAGTTCCTTCCAAGCCTTATCTTTGTTTGCACTGATTGTGGGAAATTGAGCTATTTGAATCCAAAGCCTGTCCACTTATGCGATCTCATGAATCCGCGCCCCGGTTGTTGAAGCCGCCCATGCCGCACTGGAGGCAAAATGGGCAAGAAGCACTGGCGATGTGTGAAAACTTGGGATCCGGCTTTTTGACGGTTTGGGGAGGGTGCCATTGGTCGAAGTGATGCATGATGCCACCAAAATCCCTTGGACGGTCTTGAACACGGACTGATATGAAATCAACCAGTTCGAATCTCTTGGCAAGCTCACCCACGACGAGCTCGGACTTCGTGCTGAAACCCTCTTTGGAGATGGAGCTGTTCTTTGTAGAAACATGGCAGCAGTTGAGTGCTGGTGTTATTGGCGGTGCTTGTGGCTGTGGTTTTGGTATCGGCGGTTGTGGTTGCTGTTTTGGTTTTGGCTGTGGCCATGGTTGTCATCGTCTTGAAAAGACCCAGTCAGTCATTCATCTTCCCATAGGAGCATGTGGAATCAAACATATTGACCGCTCGTTCTGTCGTCCTCAAAGGTCCCTAAGATTGCCGTGAAGACCACTCGTAATTTTGCATTGCACCACATAGCAAATGCTTCCTTCAGCGGACAAGAGGCACCCCACAAGGTACCCTATCGATTTGACGCCCACGGTGCCGGTTCGTTGTGGGAAGTGCCTTGGTAACTCATTCACCCATTTGAGACTAAGCTACAAAATCTACACACTACGAACACATACCAGAACTATAGATACATCGTATACATATGACTATAATTACATATATATATATATGCATATCAATGTGTTCGTTCAACGTACCCTCCAAGCAACGAACATCTCCAGACCAGTTGACTTTTCCTCTTGGCGATGTCGCCATGGCGGCGCGGCCGTGGTGCACTGCTTGCGGCAGTGGTAGTCCTTTGGCCGCGGCCACTCGGGCAGCGATTCAATGGGAGACCCTGCGATCGTTTAGAGCGTGTTTTGGGTAGAAGGTGATGCCAGTCATTGTGTTCACTCGTCCTGCTTGTCATGTTTTTTGTTTGAATTTCATGCAACTTTTAACGCGGATTGTGTTCTTTGCTGCATCGTCCGGACACGAAAACACACATCTGGAATCTCCTTTTGGATACAGCACACCTTCCAAAAAGCCCACGCGGGTAGAGCGATCTGCCCAACAGAGCGAGCAAACAGAGACAGGCAAAGCGAGCGGTGCCATGATGAAGATCCTTTGCTTGGGAGATCCCCCACCTGCTTTGTGAAGATATATACTATTAGACGCAAGTGGAAATGCGTTTGCAAGTCAATCTGTGCAAACATGCTGTAGGGATGCTTTGGGATGGGCTACACAGATCAAAAGGAGATCCACCGTTGATGGCCCCAAACGGAAACCTCTCGAAGGGGTCCCTGGTTTTGACTGCAGTGTCGCGCACGTGCGCTTGTGCTTGTGGCCTTGCAGCAAGATGTGCATTGACCACCCCAGAATCTTACTACGTTGAAGCCACGTCCAACATGTCGAGCCCTAAATACACAATACATAGACATGTCTGTACATACACATGTTGTACTAGCAGAGAGTGAGAGGACACGCCAGAAACACAACATGCGCCCAGTTTCGCCCGAACAAATATCGTGGACACACATGTAGAGGGAGAGAGGGAGAGAGGGAGCGAGACAAGCGAGAAAAATCGAAGCAACTTCGCACCTTTGAGCTGTCTCAGGACCTGCGACCTTTTCGCGTTTTGCGGAGGCCGGGGAATGCTTCGCACACTTGCGCGCGAGTGGGGTTTTCCGGGGGTGGTGACCCCGGCCGAATACGCCGGACGGAATTGGGGATTGTTTCCCTCCACAAAATAAGGGATGCCCGCGTTTCCGAGGCCGCCCCAATGATTATTCGACAATGGGCTAATCCGGGGTCGAGCTGAGGGGTCCCTCGACCATTTCGGGGTCGCCAGGCTGCCCAGGGGCTCCCGGCCTCGGCCCTCAATCGCACTTCTCGGGATGTTAGCTTCTTGAACATCTCAGACATGTTGAGGTTGCGGGTAGTAACTACAGCATATGTTATTTCTTGGGTTGCATCATGACTAAGTTTTGGTTTGTTTGATATCTTCAGATTGATCTGGGTGCGAAAGAAATGTTCAATTTCTCTAGACCCTCAATTGACCAGCCAAACCCCGCCAGCTGAATTAGTGAGTAGTTTGTTCATCCAAGCGAATTCTCCCACTGACGACGTGTCAGGCATTTGGTCGTGCTGAACAACTTCGGACCCTTCTGAACAGGTCTTCTCACTTCTTTTTGGCTTGTAGTTCAATCCATTCAAACAAAGCTCCTTTTTGAGGAGACAGACTCTGAAATGGTATGCTTTTGCTTTCCTCTTGAACGCCAAATGCGTGGGTCTCACGCTGTGGCAAGGCGACCTGGGGTTCATGAGAGTCACTGAAACAGGCATCCACTCAATTCAAAGAAGAGGTATTTTTGTCCAACCCTACTGCCGCCGAATTCAATTAAAAGCACAACCACCCATTTCTGGGGTTCGGGCCCCAAATGGATTGTTTGTGTCCAGTGGTGTCAGGTGTGAAGCGAGTGCAACGACTGGGGCAACACCTAGCGGCCACCAGTCAATGGCTTCCAGTTGCCAGCACTCCCGCACTGGAACCCGCAGACGATGCGACAGCTCCTAAGCTCAAGCATCCAAGTACAAACATCGAGCTTGTGAACACTTGCCAAGTTTTGTTAGATATCAGTACAGAACCCGTTGGAGTTTCTGGGTCGCACGTTGGAGACATTTGCAGGACGCAACGTGGATGCTGTATTTGAGGATGGCATTCCTTTTGCGTATCTGAGGTTCTGCCGGTGTTCCCCCTGTCGTCAGTCTACTGGCCTGGCTCGGAGGCCACACTGCAGATCATAGACCCTGCCTATCGCAAGATGTGCCTTCACTCCAAGAGCATGCGCTTTGCTGTTGTTGGTCCTTTGGGAAGGACGACGGGGGAACAGAATAACACTTTTGGCATGTGCTTCCTTGTTTTTCTAGCTCCTCCTGGCAAATGAGCAAAACAACAACAACCCAGTCTGCCAGTACCAATTAGAGAATCGGCCAAAATATCAGCCCCCAAAGTTCGACCTTTGACCTGATCTTGCAAAAAAGTAGATGCCTTTTCACTTTGACAGCATTGCTACAAGGCCCCAACAGGTATCCCGCTGTTTAGATTCTGAAGCGAGGCTTTGCAGGTTTTCGTCTTTGTGCAGTTATTTGTGTTGGCTTGCTGGTTCTCTTCAGCTGTTTTCTAGCTGCTGTTTGTTCAGCTGTTGTTGATACCTGGTTAACGTGGACATGAATCCCCACCTGCATGATGTCCACCAAAGGGTCAGCCAGCCATAAGCAAGGTACGATGACATCCTCATGTCGGGCTCCCGGCGCTTCGTGGTCACCTTCACCCGCAGCTTGCCGGGGGGCCGGGTACGCTACGCGGAGATGCCGGAGGAGGACCGGCGCCTCTTTGAGATCGGCACGGTGCTGTACCTCACCGACTTGGAGGCGTTGTGTTGGATATGTTTTTGGGTACCCATTCCACTGTAGACCTGTACTTGCTTGCACAAACTGGGGCCCGGGGGTGGGGAACCGTTCTTTTTCAGCTAGCCCTGGTTGGGGCTGAACCCTGGTTGGTTGGTTGGTTGGTTGGTTGGTTGGGTGGGTGGATGGGTGGGTTGGGTGAAGGTTGGTTGGGTTGGTTGGGGTGGTTGGTTGGTTGGTTGGTTGGTTGGTTGGTTGGTTGGTTGGTTGGTTGGTTGGTTGGTTGGTTGGTTGGTTGGTTGGTTGGGTGGTTGGGTGGTTGGGTGGTTGGGTGGTTGGGTGGTTGGGTGGTCGGGTTGGGTTGGGTTGGGTTGGGTTGGGTTGGGTTGGGTTGGGTTGGTTGAGTTGGGTTGGTTGGGTTGGTTGGTTGGGTGGTTGGTTGGTTGGGTTGGTTGGTTGGGTTGGTTGGTTGGGTTGGTGGGTTGGTTGGTGGGTGGGTGGGTGGGTTGGTTGGTTGGTTGGTTGGTTGGTTGGTTGGTTGTTTGGGTGGTTGGTTGGGTTGGTTGGTTGGTGGGTTGGTTGGTTGGTTGGTGGGTTGGGTTGGGTTGGTTGGTTGCTTGGCTGGTTGGTTGGGTGGTTGGGTGGTGGGTGGTTGGGTGGTTGGGTGGGTTGAGTGGTTGGTTGGGTTGGTTGGTTGGGTTGGTGGGTTGGTTGGTTGGTGGGTGGGTTGGTTGGTCGTTTGGTTGGTTGGTTGGTTGATTGTTTGGGTGGTTGGTTGGGTTGGTTGGTTGGTGGGTTGGTTGTTTGGGTGGTTGTTTGGGTGGTTGGTTGGGTTGGTTGGTTGGTGGGTTGGGTTGGGTTGGGTTGGGTTGGGTTGGGTTGGATTGGGTTGGGTTGGGTGGTTGGGTGGTTGGGTGGTTGGGTGGTTGGGTGGGTGGGTGGCTGGGCTGGGTGGGTGGGTAGGTTGGTTGGTTGGTTGGTTGGTTGTTTGGGTGGTTGGTTGTTTGGGTGGTTGGTTGGGTTGGTTGGGTTGGGTTGGGTTGGGTTGGTTGGTTGTTTGGTTGCTTGGTGTGTTGCTTGGCTGGTTGGTTGGTTGGTTGGTTGGTTGGTTGGTTGGTTGGTTGGTTGGGTTGGTTTGGTTTGGTTTGGTTTGGTTTGGTTGGTTGGTTGGTTGGTTGGTTGGTTGGTTGGTTGGTTGGTTGGTTGGTTGGTTGGTTGGTTGGTTGGTTGGTTGGTTGGTTGGTTGGTTGGTTGCTTGGCTGGTTGGTTGGGTGGTTGGGTGGGTTGGGTTGGTTGGGTTGGTTGGGTGGGTTGGGTGGTTGGTTGGGTGGTTGGGTGGTTGGGTTGTTGGGTGGTTGGGTGGTTGGGTGGTTGGGTGGTTGGGTGGTGGGTGGTTGGGTGGTTGGGTGGTTGCGTGGTTGGTTGGGTTGGTTGTTTGGGTGAATGGTTGGGCTGGTTGGTTGGTGGGTTGGGTTGGGTTGGGTTGGATTGGTTGGTTGGTTGGTTTGGTGGTTGGTTGGTTGGTTGGTTGGTTGGCTGGCTGGTTGGTGGGTTGGTTGGGTTGGTTGGTGGGTTGGGTCGGGTCGGGTCGGGTCGGGTCGGGTCGGGTCGGGTCGGGTCGGGTCGGGTTGGGTTGGGTTGGGTTGGGTTGGTTGAGTTGGTTGGGTTGGTTGGGTTGGTTGGTTGGGTGGTTGGTTGGTTGGTTGGGTGGTTGGTTGGTTGGTTGGTTGGTTGGTCGGTCGGTTGGTTGGTTGGTTGTAGCATCACCGGCCTTGCTCGGTATTGGCTCTGATTTGGCGGTGCTGTTGAGAGTTGCTCGGGGCTGGTTTCGGGTGAGTTTTGGGCTTCCTGACCCTGAGGGGGGTCTTGGGTTTGCTTGGGGTTAATTTAGGCTTGGCAAAGGGCTGATATCCGTTGGGCCGGTTTGGGTTGGTTTGGAGCTGGTTTGTGCTCGGTTTGCGGATGGTTTTGCAGTGGCTTGAGGGTTGCTTTGGGGATGCGGTTGCAAAAGTTGTGGGCTAGTTTTAACGCAACCACATCCCTAAAGCAACCTTCAGCCACTTTGCCGAGCCCAAATGAACCCCAAACAAGCACAAGACCCGTCCTCATTGACACCTCAGCAAGCCCAAAACTCACCCGGGCCCGAAATCAGCAACTCTCAACTGCCACCAAAGCAAAGCCAATAGGCAGCCCCAGGTCCGAGCGAGGCCGGTGATGCTGGGGTGTGGAAGGTGACTTCAGCGAGCCAAATCGGACCAGATCTTTGCATTGGGGTAAGCGGGAAGAAGCAACTTGTTCGGAGCCAGACTCGCAAGCTTTTAAGCTTTTGACTGCAGGGGGGGGAGGTTGAAGGCACGTTTGTCTTTTTTGATTCATTTGGGCGGTCTGCCCATACCTTAAAAACGAGGGGCTTTCTTTGAACCAGTCGTCTTTGATGTTTAGCCAATGCAATGAAGGATCGTGTTTGATCACAGGTGGGTTGTTGATGCCGGGTTAATACCAGGGCATGATCTAGTATAAGCAGTTTTGGGGTGAGCAGGCCCTATGAGCTACCATGGTACAAGGGATATGTATTGGAGTGGAATAGGGTGACTTAAAAACAGAGGATTCTCATTGTACATTTGGCTTATGAAGGCGAGAGCAGGCCTTGAAACGAAGGCCTGCCGAAGCCTAAAAGGAAGCCCTTGTTCACGAAAAGGATGTTTTGTGAATTGGCTCTTTTGAATTACGATAGATGAGAAGTAACCGGAAGACTACAGGAAGACTACGGCAAGGCCACCGGAAGACTGCGGGAAGATTACGGGAAGATGACGGGAAGGCTACGGGAAGAGACTGCAAGAAAAAATGACTAACACACCCCTAAAAACAAAGGCGAGTCTTTAAAACGAAGGATTTAGAGATGTTTGGCACTTTGGCGAATCAATTCTTGTTTTAGGGTTTAGGGTCAGTGCTTCAGGCCGCTTGCTAAGTGCTCTGAGGAGGTGAGCAGCCAGACAGGGGGCCAGGTGAAGTATGTGGCGAAGCACGAGGTCCAAGACCGCGCCCAATTGGTGCGCCTGCTCAACCCTTCGGCCTTGTTTGAGACGGACACTTGAAGACGTTTTAAGGTCAAAAACACGATTAGGGACTACAGTAACTCGCATGGTGATCAAGCATTTCGTAGGGAGTTTAGACAAACATTGTATGGCAGATTCTTGTTGTTGTTGAAACCCTTGATCATTTGAACTGATGGTAGGATAATGGGCTGAGTCACCGTCAATTATGACTTAATTGTGGGAAAGCTTTGGTTGTAAGCACCAAGGCAGCTGTCCCCAATTTAGCCTTCAAGACCATGCCCATTCTCCACAACTGGGACACAAACCATCAGTGCTTTTCGCAACTAAGACCAACCGCCACGTGCCAAGTGGGCCACTAAGGACAGCAAAGGGAACAAGATCAACTACCTCAAGGCCGAGGTGAGGCTTCTGCCCAGCGAGGAGGAGAACACCGGCGAAGAGACGTGGAGAGGCGAAGCGGGGGGTTTGAATCGCCCCGTGGTTGGAAGAGGTAGGGGAAGGCTCAGTTGCACTTGGTCTATTCGTTTTTTTGGGGTTTCGTTTTCTCTAGGTTGCCTCTAGGTGTGTCTTCTGCTTTCCTTTTCGTGACTTCCAAGTGGTCCATTCTTTGCCAGCCTGCAAGCTTGGCACTCGAGGTGGCAGCGGGGAACATGGCTGCAAGCCAACAGTGGTTAAACTGATCTCGGACCAGTGTAAAGGTCAACTACTGGCTCGTTGGGGTCGCCGCTCTTTTCACTAGCAGCTCCTGTCTTGGCTAAAAAAGGGGCTCCGGAATTCGCCATCGGGCTCCCCCCGGTGCATCCGCACCGTCCATACCGGGTTATTTACCGGCCTATGTTACAAAAGTTCCCCTTCTTGGCCAGGTTCTTCTGCTCGTAGTACCTGGTTCTCATCATCTTCATGCTCCATCCCTTTCCAGCATTGTCATGCTGGAATTGATTCCACTCGGTGTTGCACACCTTCTTCGCCTTGGAGATGCGTCCGCGCAATGCCCCTGCCTCTGCATTGTCATCCACCTCCAAAGTCCCTCCATGGACCCAAAGTGGGCTCCATCGCTGCTTCCCGCTGCACCACTTCCTGATCCAGCCGATTCCGTACTTCTCGCCGCACCAGAAGCCTTTTCAGACCCCTGGCTCTGCTTGATTTCCACCTCCATGCCGTCGACGATCAGCTTCATCGAAGTTGGCTTCCGCCGCTCAAGCCCCTTCTCCTGCGACCAACTCCTGCTCCACTGCTCATCGACCTCGTCGAGCTCTCTCCTTGCAGGCTTCACCACAGAGTCATCCTGGCTAACTCGCGGCTCTACCCACAATCTCTTCATAATCTCTTCATGATGCTGCCGGCAGCCTTGACTGTTCACCTTGCCACCACCGCAGCTCCAATTGCCATCAAAAGCCCTCCCAACACCACGATCTTGTCGATCGTCTCCATGCCCGAGATCTCCGCCTCGGCTCTGGCTCCTTCAGCCTTTGCCACAAGGCTTGCGCCAATCGCCATCATGATCCTACCATAAGGGCAGCCCTCCAGGCAGTGGTTCCTACAAACGGCTTTGGGACCTACCAGGCCATCATCTCGGGGTGGGTCCGGTTCATTTTCCCTGGACCTCTTCTTCGTGGGCGGTTCATCTTCCCTGCCCAATCTTCTCAGGTTTCCAGACCTGGCTTCATCCCCATCCGGCTTTCCTACTGTCGCTGGTTCATTTTCCCTGGCGATTTTTTCCTTCTTTTTGTGCCCTTCGGCGGCCCAGTGGCTCTTTTTTGCCCATTGGCCTTCCTTGCACATCCCTAGTGAAACCATTGAAGGCTTGCCCTAACAACAGCTTGGTGAAACCATCCGACCAGCTGTACACCCGGCATATGTTCCAGGACTCACTCACCTTCCTCCAAGGCCCACCTCAGCGCCGAGGCCCTTATCCGAAGATGCCGGGTTCTCCAATTCCCAGCTCCGTTGGACGCCAAGTTGATCGCCGCCATGTTGTCCCCGTACATCCTCTTGTGCTCCACCTTTTCGCCCGTGACCACCTCTGCGAGGGACACCAAAGCTCGGCCCACCGTCAGAGCCTCGCATTTTCCGATCAGCTCACCCTCCGCTGTGCTCTGAGCCACGAAAGGCTGGCGCACTGACTCCCAACAAATTGGAGCTCCATCCACGAAGCCCACGATGCCCTGCACGCTCTTGTCCTGACCACCCGAAGCATAGGAGATGTCCGCAAAGACCTCCACCATGTTCTTCTGCCTTTTCATGCCAAGGCCTTCTCTCGAAGCCCATCCTCCCACTGGCCCGTAGTGTGGACCTCGCCCAGTCGTGCCCTTGACATACTTCAACACGTCCTTGCCCAAGTTGACGACCTCTACACCTTTCTTCGTCCATCTCGACATTGCTGCTACCGCTACCGCAATGTCGGGTCGCGTCTTCGATGCTAGCCACAACAACGCACCCGTTATGGCCTGGGCCTCCCTGATCTCCTCCGCGGTTCCGTCCTTGCTGTTCTCATCCGGCAGCTTGTAGGTTAGCACCTCCGTGCCCTCCTGGATGTTCCACTTGGTCACCAAATCTTCCGCGAAGGCCTTCTGATTCACCAGGTAGCCCTCGTCCTTCTTATAAACCTCAAAGCCACAGAACCTCATAGGCACCTCCTCCGTCGCCCATTCTGCTGGAGACAATCTCCAATCTCCCTCATCCATCTTTGCCCTGGCCGCTTCAATGATCTCATCCTCGCCAGCCAACATCACGTCGTCGACATAGATGGGCATCAAACCTTGCACCGCACCCGAGTCAACCTCCACAATCCTCCATAGGTTGGGCTCCTCGGTCTCCTGAAACTTCATCACCCGTCCACCACAAGTCCATTCCATTTTCCTGATCTCCTGGTCTCTGTGAACGCTCCAATCTCGGGGGCTGGTGGTCAGACCATAGACCGCCTTGTCGACGATCCACATCTCATCTCTGTTTGCTATGCCCAACTCCTTGAACACCGACGGCACCTCCATGATGATTGTCCTTCCATCCTCTCGGCGTGGTGCATTGAGGAATGCCGTGTGGATGTCGGTGCACAAAAGGCTCCATTTCCGCTGACCTGCGGTTCGCAATACCATACGGATTTGCCATCCGCCCCTCCCGCGTACAGCTTCTCTGCATCCTTGCCCGCCGAATAGTTCCCGCACACCACGCCTAGGACCTTTCTCCGTCCATCCGGCGACTTCCGTGTACACACTGCTTTTGCTGGAAGGACTTCCACCGGACCCTCAATCTGGTCGATGTCGCTCTTCCTGATCGGCTTGACGGCCTTACTCTCCTCCACCAATGCAGCATATTCTTTCTTCGCAGCACCTCTCCATTCCTCCAACTCACTCCTGACTTCACTCATTGCTACGGTCTTCGTCACCAACCATTCCTCCTCTGCCTGGGCTGCGCTCTCCACCTGCATCCGGTTCAATGCCGCCTCAATGTGGTTCCTCCTCTGAAGCCCTTCTTGCCGCACTCCCAACCACATTTCTTGGTCTTCCTCTCCAGCATCCAAGATTTCCAGCTCCTCTTTGACCCATTGCGTGGCATGTTTATGCCAATTTTCGAAGTGGGCCTGATTCTCCATCTTCTCCCCCTCGACGGCCATCGTCGACATAGCCGTTTTCTCCCTCAACCGCCTCCTTGGTCTCTCGGCTCTCGGCATCAAGAGGTCTGGTCCGGCTCGTTCTTCTAGTATCACTTCTTCGCCCGGGTCGATGATCACCTCCTCGGGCTCCCTGATCGCGTCCGTGGTTGCGAAATACCGTCCATCTCCGCAGCTTCGCACCCAGTAGCCTCCTGATGTTGCTGACATAGACGCGTCCGGGCCCATGATCTTGACCCGCTCCCGGTCAAACCTCCAGTCCTGATACCGTTCATTCCAGCTTTCCTTTTTCACGTAGGCGATCGTGCCCCATGGTAGCATCTCCTTCACCGGCAAGCCCACCGCTTGCAGTTGTCTACGAAGACGTCGTTCTCCAGCATGCCTCAACGCCATCGGCCACGTGGTAGCTGGTTCTCCCCCCCGCCTTGAGCAGCGTTCTAATCGCTCTCTTGAGGACCCCGATTTCCGCTTCCACTCGGCCATTCTCCTTGAAGGCATCGCCTGGCACCATTGTCTTCACGATGTTCCTGTCCTCCGCCCAGCGCTTCACCTGTGCTGCCATCAGCTCTCTGGCCCGATCCGTGTGCAGCCTATACACTGGCAGACCCATTTCTCGGAGCTTCGCATAGACACGCAATTGCTGGAAGGACATCCGACACCTTGCGCGACTCGATCGGCTCCACAAACGTCAGGTTCGTGACCGCCACGTCTTGCGCCTCCTCAATCTTCTTTTCCCAGATGTCCCCGGCCTTGATCTCTTTCTCGGCCTCCTTTTCTGGCACCCTTTCTCCCTCTTCTTTCTCTTCCAGCATATCTATGTCCATCTCCTCACGGTCCTCAGCCTCGTGTTCTGCCTCGTCCGGCCGCTCTGCCAGTAGGGACCGTCCTTGACCATCAGTCGGACAGGTGTACACCGCGGCAAGGAAGTACTTCGCCTGGCACCTTTGATCTTTTCCAGCAGCCAGTCGTCCCGACAAGTCCACCGCCAGCGTATATGCCTGCGGGTGTTGTATCCGACGGTGAGGTCGACCCCTTCCTTGACTCTCCACGCATGTGCGGCAATCCCGCCGAGCTGGCTGATGGTCACATTCAAAATGCCTTTTCCACTGCTCCTTTGCCGCTGCACTCAAAGGTCGAAGAGCACGAACTTGTCCTTCTTCATGGCTCCTCAGTGCTTCCTTGAATGCCTGCACCAATCCCGGTGCCCATGCCGACGACCTCCTGCAGGTTCTCCGACCACGCTTCACCGCCTTGGCCCGGTCCTGCAACCTCCCCCAGTCCCCGCAGCTGTTCCAAGTTCGTGGCGATCGTCGTAGGCTTGCGTCTTTCATGACCCAGCGGCCCTTGATCCAGATGAATCATTTCCATCTTGTACCGCTCAGCGAACGCCTTCCACGCCCGGAACCGCCATACACTGACCAGGTTCTCTCTCGGGATATCCACCCGGTAGTCCCCAGGATCACGTGGTTGTTCCTGTCCATATGCCACCGTAGGCAAGCTTCTCCTTCTCGCAGTTTCCTCCGCCACAAGGTACACCGTCATCATCCGCAACCACAATATGGAGTCCCCTTCCACCATTTCCCTTTCCGAGTTGGTGAGGTCCGGGGAAACCCATAGGGATGCTCCTCACTCCGCACCGGTCTTGGTCCCGGCGATTTCGACCTGCATGCTGACACCGTGCGGCAGGGAGGGCCACCTATGACACTCACCACCGCCCCACTCTTTGCCAAGGCCAAGAGATAGCCGTAGACATCGTCGTTGAGCAAGTCCTGACCCGGGTGGTTGATCTTATCCAGGCAGATGCTCACCGTTCCTCCTGTCTCCATGTCCCGCCATTTCTTCTCGTCCCCGGAGAAAGATGAACGTGGATTTTCTCCGCCCGCTCAACCGTTCTTCTCCTCCTCCTATTCCACGGCAGCTTCACCGGATCGTACTCCTGCGCAACCACCAACCTAGCCAGCACATGGTCCGGGACGTCCACGAAGAACTCCTTCAACGCCCTGAGCATGGCTTCCTCATAGGTCGGGTCCTTGGTGGATTCTACCTGGCCCTTCAGCATTGCCAGCTTCCAATTGAGCTCCGCTTTCTTCTGTTCCATCTGATCAATCATCCCCAAGGCCACCTCTTCTTCCACCATTGGGCAGCCTGCAACCATCGTGACCTTCACCGGGTTCCCTTTGTAGGTCACCGCGCACACACCGTTGGACCACGTCACCATGTATCCAACCTCCGTCATTGCACCCATCGGCACTATGACCTGCGTGCCCTTTTCCGCCAGCAGCGTCAACGTTCCTGGCTTGCTCCGCATTTTCGTACTCGAACCATCTGCCAGGTGCACATCGACGATCTTGGCTTGGCTCCATTCTTCTTGGTTCTTTCCAGGCCTCAGTGCGTGCGTTGCTCCTCCATCCAGAAGACTCATCCCGTGGCCTTCCTTTCCGACCTGCTTCATCACTATCACCGCATTCATAGACGGCATTCGCAGCGACCGAAGAAGACTCGTCGCCTCAGCCAACAGCTCCCCCGTTTCGCTACCTGCACCACCTGCCGTAGTTCCACCTCCTGTAGTACTCGCCGCCCATGATGTAGTCTCTTTTTCCGCCATGTTGCTGGTCTCTCCAACTCCTGGCAACAGCGATTTTTCCGCACCTATTCCTCCCCCCGAGCTGCCACCCAGCTCGCACTTCGCTGCTTTGACCGCCGGCCTTGGTGTTGGTCTCCCTCCTGCGTATGGATTCCCGGCTTTGACCGTGTAGTCTGCCTTCCTGTGGGTTTTTGCGCCACAGGTCCAGCACCGCGCTGCTTTGTCTGTAACCCCTTCCCAATCGTGAGGCCACTTGCAGCTCCGCCCGGCTCTGCAACCGTTCTCCGATATGAAGTACCTGCAGTTGGTGACCTCCTTCTTGGCCGACGCTGTTCCTTCATGGTGTCCTCCTTGACCTACTCGCTCACCTCCAGTCTGCATTGCCTTGACCTTGGGCTGTGCCACTCCTTCCGAAACCATGAGCTTCGCTGTGTCCATTTCCGCCAGCAACAGCTCCGAGTAGCTCTAGATGCCGAGGGCCGTAGGCGCCGTGTCCAGGCCAAGTTGCGACCTTGCCTGAGGCACCTGAAGGCCTGCGTACCTCCCTTGTTCACCAGTTGAACTACCCGTTCCAGCGCCACAGCTAGCAGGGTCGGGTCCGGAAGCGTAGCCCCAATCTCCTCGCCCTCAGATAATACCTCCGCCACTCCCTTAAAGCCGTTGCCGCTTCCGCGTAGTTCCTCATCGCCCCCAGGTCCGTGAGCTTCTTCAAGATGAGAGCTCTTTCGCCTGGGCCTCCAGGTTGGTAAGTGACCAGGAGTCTATACAACACCCCCGTCGACGTTATCTCACGCGCTGAGATGAGCTCCTTCCGAATCTCCTCCGGCACCGCCTTCAAGAGCAGCGTCACGCCTCTCTGCTCCGTCCTGACGAACCTCGGGGTTTTCAGCCGCTCCGGCACGTCCACGGTGATCTTGAGCCTTTCCAGGGGCGTTGATTTCAGCCAGACTTCATAGAGCTACTTTGCCTGCCCCATGGTCCCAGCCCACCATTCTGCCGCTCCTTGCGAGAGATCACTCATCTAGGGTCCAAACTTGAGCTATCCAATCTCCCAGAGTCAACGGCGAGTGGTCATACACCAGCTCCGGCAGTTCTACCTTCCCACCAGCGCCTCCTGACTCAACTTGTTCCACTGCGGGTTTCTGCTCCTCACTTTCCCAGCCCTTCCAGCTCTTCCATGCTGTCCAGCTCCTGGGATTCCATTCTGTCTGCCACCATCGGTCCTCATCCGACCATTCTGCCTGCCACCCGCGATCCGCGTCTCTACCATTCTCTTCCCTTGGTACCGGCGTCCTCCATAGCCTTGGAGGTGGTGGTGGCGGTGGCGGCGGCATCGCAAGCACATAGGAAGGCTCCATCGGCGTCGCAAACAACTCCACCTTTTCCGCGGGCGTTACGAACCTCTCTGCCTCCTTCTGATCATGCTGCTCCTTCCAGAACGCTGCCTCTACCTGCCACTTCCTCACCTCGCTCCTCAAACCTTTGATGATTCAAAAGAGGTACTCCCTCTGCTTTTCCATCCCGCGCACTGTACGGCACGCCTTCTAATTCTTCTCCAGCTCTTCCACCAGGTCCATGTCGCCGATGAGCTCGTCATCTCCTGCTTGTCGGGCTCGCTCCGGAACCCACACCTTGTGTTCATCATGCCAGATCCAGTCCAGTTTCAGCGGGGCAAGGTCTCGTGCTGCCTGAGATGTGTTCTCGGTCCTCCTACAGGCCGCTTCCCATAGCCGCTGATCTCGAAGCTCTGGATCCTCCATAATCTCATCTTCTCTTCCACCTGGCCGAAGAGCTCGTTGATCTCCCACCCCAACTCCGCCTTCCGCCCCTCCAGGACCACGAAGTTCTGCTTCTCCTCGTTGGCCTTCATAGCCTTTTCTTTCTGCAGGTCGGCCTCGCATGGTGCTAGCCCTTCTCAATCTTTCTCCTTGTGGCCCATTCCCTTCACCGGGTCGTAGGTCTCCTCCTAGTTGAAACCCTTCCACATTCCCATGTAGTAGAGCTCCATCACCGCGTTCTCGCCCACCATCTGGACGTCCTACTTCTTCTTGCGAACCTTGCCCTCCACCATTGGCCATATCTCCTTCCATTCCAGCCCTCTCCAGGTCCGCAGCAAGGTCCTTCTTGATCTCACTCCAAAACTCCTCATTGTTCTTCCGGCTCGACGTCGTCTCGGGGTGCATACCGATCTGCTGATCTCGCCCTTCAAGTCGTCCACCGCCGCCGCCGGGTTCTTCGCGAAGAGCTCCTTCTTCTCTTGGTTTTTCATCCGTCCCCGGCACCGGTGGCAGCCTGCTCGGTCGGCTCGCCCTCAGCACCGCTTCATCCTGTGCTTTCTGGCTCCAGAACGGGTTTACTGCCACTCCCGATCGAATTTCTTCTTGTCGTCCTTCTGCATGATCTGGCTGTTCTTCTTGCTCATGGACATCACCGTCTCGCTCTGCCACCATGATGCCCTGGTCCAGCCCGAAGCCAGAGTCCATGCTTCTGGACCTTCTTCTCCGCATCCCGGCCATTCCACCGAGATGCTCAGGACAGGTTTGGGCTCATAACCCTCGTTGGGGTCGCCGCTCTTTTCACTAGCAGCTCCTGTCTTGGCTAAAAAAGGGGCTCCGGAATTCGCCATCGGGACTGGAAAAGGGGCCCTTACTTCAGGTTGGTGAAGTTTACTGCTAGTTTCTGCTGATATAGTTTGGTTTAGACTCATACAAATTGCAAATGTTTGAAGAACTGCGGAGCCACTAGAGTTGCAGCCTGTTAAATTCCAACATCATGGTACCGTCGGTCTTGATTCAGCCAGAAACAGGTGGGTCTGTCCACAACGCACTGGAGGAACACATAGGGATCAACGTAGTCCCCTTTCCGCGGAGACTTGTGCGGTAAAGGACAACAATTCTCAGGAGTTGGGCGACCATTTCCCAAACAAAGCCACAATTGAATATTTTGTTGAGGCCTCACATCCGAAAACAAGCATGGTCTAGTTTCTCTTTGAATCAGAAGTTCCCCACAATAAACACAAACATCTTTGTGTAGGACTATATCAATCAAGAAGAGTCTCTCATTGATGGAGAATCCGCCTTCGCGCCTAGGGGTGTGCGTCTCTGGAACCTTTCTCCGCGTTCAAAGCTTGGGTTGTGCACGGTCTTCAATATTTTGAGTCTTGTAGGTGATATTTAAGATTTGGCAGGTGATTTGCTGGACACCTGGCGGCAGCTGCAAGTGCTTTCCCACCAGTTCCAGGACTGTCAGGGAATTGCCAAAAGCTCGTGACTCACAAGGTGTATGGACCGTTTATCACCCTGACCTGAGGTTTTTGTACCAAGTTCTTAGCGTGTCCTTGAAACGGGCTTCGTAATTTGTCGTGCAGTCCTAGCCCTTTTGGTGGCCTCGCTTCCCCGAGCTCTGCTTGTCTGGCTAAAAATCACACACCTATGTTTGGACATAAAGGTCGCTTCCGGCAAGAAGAGCCACTTTCTGTTGGATTCCAAATTTTCAAATGGATCATGACTCGTTCACCTCTTGGTGGTCGATGGCCAACACCTCCCTAGGAGCCGCACCTCGCTGGGAGCTTCTTCTCTTCTGTGGCGCCCAACGTGAGCCCCGCCACAAGGGCGCTGGGCATCGGGTGCGATGGGAACCCCAGCGACCTTTGGGTCAAGGGAAAGGTTCGAAGCATTTGGGAACCCTCTTTGTTTCCGCAGAGAACCTTGTTTGGCTTACTTTCCAGGAGGGAAACAAATCCATGGAAAAGCAGGGCTCTCACAGTGAGGAAACAGTCTGGCAGTGTATCAAAAGGGCAGTGGGTCGCTTAGGCGCCGCGCAAATGGTTCGCTTAGGCGTCGCGCAAATGGTTCGAATAGGCGTCGCGTTTTGAAGCAGGCTTGTTGTGCATGCATGCGTGTTGACATGTATGCCTCGCGATGTATGTTTGTATGCGCGCGTGTGTTTGCATGTACGCGCTTGTCTGCGCTTGTTGGCGTGTATGTCTCATGACACATGTGGCGTGTATGTCTCATGACATATGTTACTATGTATGCTGGCGAGCTCCCCCCAGAGCCATGTTACTTTGTAATCCGGTAAAAGAGCAGGCTGGTCTGCAGCAGTTGAGCGGGTGTGCTTATCATGCCCCACCCCCCCCAAGCCCCCCCCAGAACCATGTTATTTTGTAATCCGGTAAAAGAGCAGGCTGGTCTGCAGCAGTTGAGCGGGTGTGCTTATCATGCCCCACCCTCCCCAAGCCCCCCCGGTAAAAGAGCAGGCTGGTCTGCAGCAGTTTGAGCGGGTGTACTTACCATGGCCCCCCTCCAACCCCCCCCAGAACAATGTTATTTTGCAATCCGGTAAAAGAGCAGGCTGGTCTGCAGCATTTGGGGGTGGTGCTTACCATGCCCCCCCCCAACCCCCCCAGAACCGTGTTATTTTGTAATCCGGTAAAAGAGCAGGCTGGTCTGCAGCAGTTGGGCGGGTGCTTATCATGCCCCCCCCCCCAAGCCCCCCCCCCAGAGCCATGTTGCTTTGTAATCCAGTAAAAGAGCAGGCTGGTCTGCAGCAGTTGAGCGGGTATTATCATGCCCCCCCACCCCCCCAGAGCCATGTTACTTTGTAAGGCTGGTCTGCAGCAGTTGAGCGGGTGTGCTTATCATGCCCCACCCCCCCCCAAGCGCCCCCCCCCCAAGAGCCATGTTACTTTGTAATCCGGTAAAAGAGCAGGCTGGTCTGCAGCAGTTGGGCGGGTGTGCTTATCATTCCCCCCCCAACCCCCCCCCCCCCCGAACCATGTTATTTTGTAATCCGGTAAAAGAGAGCAGGCTGGTCTGCAGCAGTTGAGCGGGTGTGCTTACCATGGCCCCCCCCCACCCCCCCCCAGAACATGTTATTTTGCAATCCGGTAAAGGAGCAGGCTGGTCTGCAGCAGTTGAGCGGGTGTGCTTATCACCCCCCCCCCACCCCCCCCCCAGAGCCATGTTACTTTGTAATCCGGTAAAAGAGCAGGCTGGTCTGCAGCAGTTGAGCGGGTGTGCTTATCATGCCCCCCCCCCGTCAACCCCCCCCCAGAGCCATGTTACTTTGTAATCCGGTAAAAGAGCAGGCTGGTCTGCAGCAGTTGAGCGGGTGTGCTTATCATGCCCCACCCCACCCAAGCCCTCCCCCAGAGCCATGTTACTTTGTAATCCGGTAAAAGAGCAGGCTGGTCTGCAGCAGTTGGGCGGGCCCCCCACCCAACCCCCCCCCCCCAAAACCATGTTATTTTGTAATCCGGTAAAAGAGCAGGCTGGTCTGCAGCAGTTGGGCGGGTGTGCTTACCATGCCCCCCCCCCCCCCCCCGTGACCAGTGAATGTGATCCCTGAGTGATCCGCGAGTGTGATCCCTAAGTGAGCGGAATGTCATCCTCAAGTGAGCGTGTATCCCTAAGTGATCGTGATCCCTAAGTGATCCGTTTGAGTCGTCCCTAAGTGACCACTCTGCCGTATCAAAAGCTTATTAAGAACTCCACTGCAAGGGGTCTTCATGTTGTTTGTGGGGGATGCCAAACAGCCCACCTTGCTGTTTACTTGGAACCAGGGCAGGGAAGATTTCGGGTGAAAGGGAGGGGGCCTTCGTTAAAACTTCCTTTCAGATACCTTTTCCAAGATTAACGCAGATCAAACGCCCCTAGATTGGGAACCCCCAGATAATCTGAAAACGATGCCCGCATGCAACCATGTTTGGGTTTGACAGATTTTCCCTGACGTGGTTGCCAGTGCAGGTCAACTCTTGGAGTCTAAACAGAGGAACATCTCTAAATGGGTGGACATCCATCCCCACCATGATGTCCACCAAAGGGACCCGAATGAAGAGAACCCAGCCATGCGGCACCAGAAGCCCAGGCCGGGCACCGTTTTCGGTCTCGCCGTGTCGCTGGTGTCGCGCCCAGGAGCAGCTGGGTCCTGGCCGCGGCCTGGCAGCAGCTGCGGGTGGCCACCCAGGTGAAGCGACTGCAGAAGCAGGCCATGGAAGATGTGAAGCAGCGCTTTGGAGGCAAAAGGCGGCCGTGGCGCAACATGAAGCGGCAAAACCGCCCAAGCCGCCTGTTTTGGTTTCGATTGGTTGGCACCCCCAAAAAAGACACCCGAAGATCGGTATTTGGGTTCATCTACAACTAGGGTAACACCCGTGAAATGGGTGGTTTCCTTTCCTTTGAGCCAAACCCTGAGAAGGGTGCGCCGTAGCAGATAACCTTCTTTGGGTTGTCAAAACACGTTAAATCACACCCTTTTGATTGCTATGAGCCAAGTGCTCAAAGCATTCCCCGTGCGGAACACGTGTCTTTTGTCTATCGCTGTCTGAGAACTTGGGTGGAACAGTTGAGTGCCACTGGGGCCGTTTGCCTTCAACCTACTCGGGCCTTGATGATGATTTGTGGGAATTTATGTCGTCGAAGCAATTTGGACTCCTGTATTTGTCAAACACCCATATGTCAACTTGGTTGCGCAGCTCGGTTGGACCTTTCGAGGGTCGGCTTCATTTCAACCTTTTCTGGGTCATTGACACGCCCTCATTTTGCTGAACCATCCTCTCTACAATTCCAAGGGTTGGTAAATCTCATTTGCTTAGCCATCCTCTCTACAATTCCAAGGGTTGGCAACCATTGGTGGGTTGGGCAGGTTTTTTCGAAGGACAGCAATGGGATAAATACTATTATGGTCATATCTATCCGGGGGTTACAAAGGGATCCTATAATACGTTTGACTATGTAGCCTGATAGAATATACATTGACATATAGGTGAACAGCGTCCGCATCGATTTGTGTCCAATGGGTGTCATTCCGGTCTGAATTCTCGTTCAGGAATACTTGTGGAGGGTAGCTCTCGGCCAGCGGTCAGAGAACGGAACGTGGAGGGCTGGGACAAGTATTGGTGTTTGTGACTTCCGGGTTTGTGATTCGTGCGAGACGGGTGTGAAGCTTGGTGCAGACTAAGAGTATGTGGCAAGATCCTGAAGCGGTTGGGAGCTGAGGTACATCGAGTCCGGGGACTTCAAGTCCCTCACACAGGAGGAGGCCTTAAAAAAGCTGCCGCCAGGTCTGCTGAGGCGCTTGTCCGGGCAGGTCGATCTCGAGACTTGGCCTTGAACGTCGAGATGTTTGTTCTGATTTGTATGGGTCCGTGGACTTCTGAAGATTACTTGTGGGGGTGGGGCGGGTTTTCTTGCCACCCTTTTACCGGCGACGGACGCGGGCTGGAGCACAAACCCACCCACATCGGTACAGCCACAATACACAAAGTACAGGTGCGTACCAGCGAAACAAACCGTCAAAGACAGTATCTTTGAATGATAGATGGTTGTGCACCGAGCCCTCAATAGTTGTTCTTGGCTGTTTGAGGAAAGATATTGCTTACGAGGTTTCGCCTCGCACATTATTGTTGCAAGTTGTGCTCAGATTGTCCTCAACCCTTTCCAAGCAATGCAGTGTGCGCAGATTGGATGGTTCCTTTCCCCTCTACTGTGGAATCTGCTCAATCTTCCAGAGAGTTTCATGTGGGAAGAAGAAGAAGAAGCGGAAGAAGAAGAAGAAGAAGAATAAATTCATTTACTATGGTTTGGTTGGTTTACCTGTAAGAACAAGATAATGCCCCAGCTATCTCATAATTGCAGACTTTTCCAATGCCAAGGACAAGAGAACGGTTGAGAACCGTTTGATTTAGACATAGAGGATTGCCTGTTCCCCCATGAAGAGGACCTTATTTTCACCCCTGGTTATGTTCACCATCACGGGAGTGACTCTGCCAGTCATTGTCACCAACCATCCCATGTAAGGAGGACGCACTCAAACATCCAAGGTCCACGTATGGAATGGGATGATTCCCATTTTCTCTGACCAATGCCATGTGACTAGCATTTTCTATGATCCGTCGGGATCATTCCCATACTCCAACCACATACTGCGGATGGACGAAATCAATTCGCACCCAAGAAACCCTGGAATGATACGATCCCCATTATTTCATTGCGTGCGAGATGGGTGTGGCAACCATACCGGTGATCGTTTCACGCGCGCTCGACCGATGGAATCCCAGGATCAGGACTTCTGGCTGGCCCTGCTGGAGATTTTGTCCGCGGACTCGGCGCAGCAGAGGGGCGAGAAGCTGGCGGAGCTGGTGGAGGCCGCTTTGAAACAGCGAATGGATGGAGGGAGCGGCGAATTGGTGGGATATGATAGATATGCATGTTTCATTTAAACAGTACGTGGATTATGGGTTAACAGTTATACATGTTTCATGTGTGGGTCATGTTTTTCCGCCTTTGCTTCTGTAATTAGTCACACGTGTTACTGCCTAGCGTTGGCTTAATTCCTTGCTGAGCCTGTTAGAAGTATAGGTCTGCGGTCTGCGGTTCTGCTCACCCGTAGGCCGAGCTAAAGCTGTCGCGGACCCGGTTCGCACTGAAGCAGGCGCTGAACTGAGGTCTGGCGGCCTCGCGCCTTGGAAAGCAGGGTCTGGCTGGGTTCCAGGAACTCCATGAACCCAGAGGAAACATAAGGCTGTGGTTGTCAAAACCAATGGTAACATTTTGGGGTAGGTGAATTCACCACCCATTTTAGAACCTATTTTAGTGGGAATTGGGATGTTCACTGGCGGTACGGATTGTTGACCATGGCCATATTCCATTTTAGCGGTGGAACTGGGTGCAGTCTCGCTGGGGTTGCGCAATCTCGCGTGCCCGTGTGGCAATGCAATCCCAAGGGGTTCACTCGGAGTTGGCTCGAGGGGCTGATGCAGGTCTCTCCCAAAGTGGTGAGAGGATCAGTCGGGTTGCTCGTGACAAATGGCCCTAAGTGACCAGCCTTTCAAGTTGCCTTTTTGGAGCAACAACCAGGTAGTTGCCTTTCTGGAGGACGCTCTCAAGAGGGAGCCAACATGATTCCAGCCATTTGGACTGGCAGATACCCAGCTAGGTTGTTCATTTTTCCACACCAGCTGTATATTTGAGCAAAGTGGATGGAACACCTGGGAAATTCAGACGGCATTCACTTGATCCTCTGACAGGAACATATGGGGCATACGTGCGGAGACCTGGCGATTCCATAGCTGGGGATACCTGCAGAATACCTGAAGCTTCCTTTGATTGATAGCCATGGTTGTGGCAAGTAGGGCTTTAGGGCCACTTTCTGTGGGAGTGATAGCAAGGGAATCCCCTTCAAACCGATAAAGTAGTCATAGGAATGACCCACATTGGGAACAGAAAGGGTGATTTTCCACAACCACTTTGTAAGTATTCCATTCACAGCGTGAACTCTGGACTGAGCTTTTCCGTGAGTGGCGCAGCGCTTTTCATGTTCGAGCATCTCTGACTGGACTGTGAGCAACGGTGAATATGAACGGTCTCCTACTGTACTGGGTTCATTAAAGTGATTGTAAGTTCTCAAACCTTGGGGTGTCATCTTGACCTCCATTTTTTGGTGCCATTTTCAGAGTGCCACGCGGGCTGCACGAACACCAGATCAATAACGGAGAAGAGGAGGACTACAGGCCCCGAAGTTGTGGCAAAACAAACATTGACCGTGGCTCATGTACATAGCGCTCGCTGCAACTCGCAGATGCGGACACAGGAACAAAAAAATCCAGCGTGGGAGCATAGAATTCCCCAGGTAAGTTGAGCGCCCAAAACCCCTGGCCACTTGAGTAGGTTCTACCAAGTTACTACCTGCTTCACTTGGCACAATAGTCACTCACCTCTGTGAATTGGGCGCAACAAATCCCAAGACCTGGAAGGGTTTTCGGAATCCCAGCCCTTACCGGGCAACGGGCGAGGACTCAAGGAGTCAACCCTGGAATTCTGTGGCCTTTGGCGAGAGGATTTTTTTAAAATGGATCTGGGGGACTTCTGCCCTCGCAGGATGAGGA